TTTCAAGGTGATTGCAGTGACCACTTTATAATTTGCTCCAGAATTTTCCCTGGGATTGATGTCAGGCTGACTGGTATGTAGTTCCTAGGTTCCTCCTTTTTGCCTTTTTCTAAGAGGGACATTAGCCCTCTTCCAATCATCCCGCACAGCCATTCTCAACAGAGATCATATGGCCCCATAGGGGCCCCTGGCCCATTTGAAGGGGGCCACAGACTAGAAACAATTCTTCATAAGCTGCCTTATAAGGTTTGTTATGCAATTTATACAATCCTGATTCAGCCAGTATTTCTTTAATACTGTGTTTATGGCATGGCAAAAAAAAAAAAGGCTAAGAATGACTGATTTAGCACTTTACCCAACAAAATAAGACATTGGTTCTCAGAGTTCTTCAGCCAGTTTCTCCAGTACTATTAGAGGCAGTTCATTGGGCCCTGGAAATTTGAACTTGTCCCTTTCTGGCACACCAGGTCTTTGGGAGAAAAGTGTCTTCTTAACCATCTCTTTTGGCCCCTCAACCTGGCTGGATTGCACAGAGACGTCGAAGGAACATGTCTGAGGTTCACACATACAGTATCTGTGCCTCCCTGTACCAAAGACTTTTCTGCTACCTCCTTGGCAGAGACACAGAAACCCTGTGAGGCTGCCTGCTACTCTTTCATAGTGTCAGTGTTCAACAAGGCAGCTGAGTGACAGATATTGTGTGTGTGTGTGATAGTAGTACTGTAGTTGTATTTTCCCCTCTCAGTAGAAGCTACTGCAATGGATGCAGGCAGCCTTCCTGCAGCCTTCCTTAAGTGCCTACTTCTACTACAGCCATGTTTTATACTGCCTGGAGACTCTACCCAAAGAACAGCATCTGATTCTGCTACAGTAGAACACAAGCCCTTCATATGAAAATCACATACAGAAACGAAATCAATTATCTGACTGTATACAACAAAATCTTATTTCCCTGCCTAAAGGGCTAAACCCAGGGTGGATAAAAATCCATGATTTTTTAAAAATGAAATTGATTTAAATTACAGTTTAAATTTAAATATTTTGTTACATTGAAATTACCAAAGTATTCTATTTAAATTGTGATTTAAATCAATTTGATTTTAATCATCCACTCTAACTAAAACTAATATATATCCCTTTGAGTTATAATGTATTAATCTATGAATTTACTTATCCTAAATCTTATTCTGTACTATATTAAGTAAACAAGACACAATGAGATGTAGAGAAGGTAAATGTAAATTGATGGTTCAGAAAAAGATAAAGAAAACTACTGCAGTGCAGGCTTCTCCCAGACCATATCCTAACAGCAAAAACGCAGTGAATTTATAAGCAGCTATGCTTATTTTTCAATTGGAAATGACCAATGTGAAAAAAATACCTTCTGGTATCTGTGACTTGTTTTAGAGATCATTGGTGCAGACATGATTTAGAAGTTTTGCTCTTGCCCCAGCCTCCCTCTCTTAGGAAACCAATGACTCCCAATCGGGAGACAATGAGTTGTCTGCTCTAACTACACTTGGTACTAGAATGTCTTTAAGCTACATCTCTCAAGAAATCATTCCAGGATACCTGAGAAATAGGTTTCATTTTCACTTCTTCCTCTAGCAGCCTAGCTTTTCGCTTTGTAATCTATAGGAGTAAATGGGACTCCAAATATTTAGAAATTGTTATTATGGACATTCAGTACTACAGTCTTTGACTGTGGCATTATTTGGTGAATTCTGAACATTTCCAAATCGGAATGCACATCACTAAGTAATCCATCCCCAGAAAGATCAGGATCACACACACCAGAAAGACCACTGTTTAATGACCCATGACAATGGGTGGAGAAGAACTGCAGAAGAACTGCAGAATTCCAGCAGTTGCCATTTTCCAGAACCATACATGACAACCTTCATCAGCAAATACTTCCCCCTCTCTCACACTTCTGAGTCTACAATATTACAAGACAAACTCTATTACTTTTGGTCCATGTCAGATGTAAAGTTGCTTCTGATCAAATGGTGACATGCCCAGTTTCTGCTTTTCTTTTGTAAACTCACTGGCAAAAAAAGGGAAGAAGCTGAGATCTCACTATATTTCCAGCTTCATTTGTTTAATGACCAGGACATATAATTGTTTAGAAATGGAGTATGACACTACTAATAAAACTACTTACTGTACTGTATTTTTCTGTGTATAAGACACTCCCATTTATAAGACTCCGCCTGCTTTTCTAAACCAAAATTAAGAAATCTTAACTTACCTCTGGGCTCAGAATGCTCGGACATTACAAGTCCCTCTTGCATCTGAGCCTACAGGCTCCACCTCCAATGAGGTGTGCTCCAATTGGTTTGTTCAACATCAGCTCAGGTGACTTCCATAAAGCTTGTGACTGGAGGAAGCTAAGTCTCCTGACTGTTGGAAGCTAAGCCTCGCGATTGAAGGGTTGAAGCCTGTTTACAGACGCAAGGTATGAGCAGTTTTGTTCTCTCCTTAACTTATTTCCATGTATAGGGCGCACCTCAATTTTTAGTGTAATTTTAGGAAAAAGTAGTGTCTTATACATGGAAAAATACAGTAATTGCATATGCTCAGAGTCACCACTTCCAGGTACTCACAAAACTGAAACTAGGCTAAAATTGATCACTGATGGACATTCTCTTCAACTGGGTGGCCCTGCTTCAAATGAACTTTACCTGCGTGAGCTCTTTTCACACATGTCCTGAATCAGCCTGATATTATTTTTTAGCTATTTTCTCCTTAATTCTTAATAATTATGTGCCATCAAGTCAATTCTGATTTACGGCAATCCCTTTTCAGGATTTTCCAGGGAAATAAATAAATATTTCCAGGTAGAGAATACTCTGTGAATGAAAAAGGACAAACGATCAAAATCCAAGCTTATCTTAGAATATCTCTTGAATAGGGTGATTTGCTGGCTTTTATCCACAGTCCCCGTCTTTTGTTACTGTGATTGATATCAATAGCCGCCTAGAGTCGTCCGGTAGGCCAGATAGGCAGGGTATAAAATAAATAAATATATAAATAAATAAACCACTTAAGACAACAATAAATTAAATGTATTTAAAATTCAGAGGCCGTCTGTAGAAGCAATCTTAACCTCTCTCTCATTGCTCTTTGTTATTGGATTAAATTCCTCTCATCTAAAACCAGAGTAATTAGCCTCAAATTCTGTTTCCTGTTTGGTGCTTCATTAGCTTGATATATTTGTAACTTCTGTTTCATCTGACTGTTGTATCCTATGCCTTATCTTAGGCACTAGAATATTATTTCTTCATTCACTTAGCATCCTCAGACCAAATGAGTTTTTAAGTCTTCAAGGCATCTGAAGGATTCCAACTGGGGAGTAACTTGCTGGTTTACTTTACATTCATATGCAACATTCTCATTCAATATTACCTTTGTCAAGGACACAGGACTCAGTACACAGACTCCTTCTATACCTTCAACAGCCACAAAGAAGGAAAATGAACAGGTGCAGTTTTTTTTATCCCTGCTTTCTAGTAGGATGCACTGGCCTCAGTGGAGAAACATTATGGACACAAGAGTCCGTAATTTTGAGTAAACTACTGTATGTACATAGGTTTGTCCTGTTCTCCAAGGATGGCTTCACAAATTGTTTTCATATCTCCTCATATGGCAGAGTAGACCTTTGGTCTAGATGGGCGGGATAGAAGTTCAACAAATAAATAGTTAATGTCAGACATCTGCCTAAAGGCTAATTCAGACATGTCAGGTTAGATCAATGTTTTATCACTCGTAATTCACACCTGAGCACCCAAGATATCTCTACTGAAAACCACTGTGTCAGATGACATGAAAGCTATGTATATGTGTGCTGAGTGATAAAAATTATAATGTGCATCAGTACATAATGGCACTGCCTTTACGATTGTGCACACATGAGATCACTCTAACAATTATTAAAATTTCACACATCCTTTAAAAAATAGTTTACATGCATTATGTAGGCGGGTTGAAACCGGGGAAGATCATTAAAACAAGAACATGGAGATGCAGGCTGAGTACACTTTACTGATTTAATCTATTAAAGTTTAATATGTCTGCACAATATTGCCACAATTACAATTCACTTTACAAATCTAATTAAGTTGGAGCATTGAGCTAAGAAAATCTATCATGTAGGTTTCTTGAAAAATTATATTGTGCTTTGTGTTTGGAGATGGATGAATTGTGCCTCATACAGGTACAATAAATAGCTGGAAGTATGAAACAGAAAACATACGAAGTAATGCAGCATTCTTCTAAGAAACAGGAAAGTCCAGTCTTCGCAAGCTACCACCTCAAGCAAGATGAGAGCAGATTCATCTTACCCCTTCTTACCTTCATGGGAAGATAGGCCAATATGAAACCAGTTGTCAGAGGGGAAAAGGTGAGATAAACTGAACATCATTTCTACTACAGTAAGTTTGATAAAGCAAAGTGTTTGCAAGCTTCCCTTCCCCCATGCATTTTATAGTCAGTCATCATTCTTAGTACTAAATAACTACAAAAGAAACAAACAAAAACAAGAGCATGCTGTACTCATTTAGTCTTGGTGAACAATCCTTGTAAGAAGTTCAGTAAAGCAACTGTATCTAAGATGGAGGGTGTAAACTGACAGTTAATCTGCTGCTTCAAAAGCTCTGCAGCTGATGTTATCTGGGGCACAGAGTGGATGCACTGCTTTCCTTCTTTGTTTCTTATCTCACGTCATTTTATTTTTAACCCACCCACCCCAGTTCAAATCGGGGAATAGGGATAAATTAGTACCAACTGCATGGTGATATTGGAAAGAGGCCTCCTGGGAGTTTCCTGACAAATGAGATTTTAGATTCATGGCTACCTCTCTCCTGTTCCAGTCCAACATGCAGCACATCTCGATGTGAAACCATACAATTTTATTTGTGGAATTTTAAACACACTTAAATAGCCCACCCATGGCAGATAAGCCTCAGCCCCAGTGGTAGGAAGGGAACCTCTGACCCATTCAGTGTATTTCAGTATTACTTTGCCCTTCCTACGTGTTCTTAAGATTTTCAATTGGCTTATGGAATATACCCTTGATTTAATCACGTTACAGATAACTAGGATTCTTTTAATGGTCACTCCCTTCTCAAAACTGTGTAAGCAAAAATTACCAAGCATATGGTCCTGTGCATTCCTTGTCACAATTTATTTATTTATTTATTTGATTTATACCCCGCCTATCTGGCCCACCGGTGGTTCCTTCTCTTTGAGCCTCGTGGTATAGTGGTTAAATTGCTGTGCTACAGCCAAAACTGTGCTCACGACCTGGGGTTCAATCCCAGGTAGCCGGCTCAAGGTTGACTCAGCCTTCTATCCTTCTGAGGTCAGTAAAATGAGTACCCAGCTCGCTTGGGGGGGGGGGGGCAACGTGTAGCCTGCATAATTAACTTGTAAACCGCCCAGAGAGTGCGTGAAGCACTATGGGGCAGTATATAAGCAGCACGCTTTGCTTTTTGCTTTGTTCAACCAATCTTCTGGTTGGCTTTTTTTTTCTTTTCCCTCATCCATTTGACCAACCTTTTAAACAAAGCTCATATATCTCAGTAAGAAATGATTACTCCCAAGCAGAAGGGTTATGAGAAAGGAGAGTAGAAATTACTATCAGGAAATACTTTTTTTATTTATTGTACAACATTCAAATTCTTTTTCAAAAGACAGGAGGGAAAAACAACAGACAGCATTACTAGCGCCTCAGAAAAGGGATGATACAGTCTTTCACAAGAGCATAGCGACTGGACAAAAACATCAGTACTTGTTGCTCTGCCATGAAGAACGGGAAGAAATGGGGTATGTATGTAAAGTCAAATTTAAGCAATTACACATTTCAACTGACAAGGACAGTCACTGTTACAGCGCACAGCATGAGTTGTTTCCTCCCGTTCACATCATTTTTTTTAATATATAAAAATTAGCCAGGTATTCTGTAAACGTGTGCAGTTCACAGAAAGTGAAGGAAGCAGGCTAGTCCTGTCCCCTCCATTACTGCTTTCAAATTGCAAAAGCAACAGTCTGAAAGGAGGAGGCTGTTGTATCCATGCAGGCTTTCTCAAGTGAGCCAGAACATATATTAAAATTGGTTTTTGGCTTATATACAGAACCCACATATATGTGAATATTGCTTTCACATATTGAAAATAATCACAGAATGGGCACGATTAGCACATTCCCTTCACTACATATGGAGTACACTTATTTACAGAATATCTGGGCTAGGCCACAGCCTTCAGCAGAGGTCTATGACTTTGCTAGAGAACTTCTGTTCAGAAATATTCAGACTGTTTAATGTTCTTGAATGTATTTAGCTGAGCCAACACTTTCTTACTTGCCACAAAATACATATATTCACTCAGTCAGGAGGCAAACTCAGCACCCTTCAGGAAAATATTAATGGAAGATAATGAGCACAATTACCAAGAGGTGAAAGCTGTTATTCTGAAGTTTATACTCTTAAGAGATTCTACTTCGTACACTCAGTACAGGTGCTGAGTGTTTACCAGATGCAAATAAGCTACCCCAATTTGGCAAGGAGGGTATGTGTGAAAGATCAGTCATTTTAATGGGAAAAGGGAAGGTAACAAACAAAGTCAGATGATTTTTTAAAAATACAGATACACATTTCCAGATAAAATGAGCTTTCTGGCACCAAGGTGAAGAAAATAATTCTAGTTTAAACCATAGACCTTATGCTTCACTTATATATAATCCAATAAGGCATTTAGTTGTATGAATTTACCAGTCCATAGGGTCATTTTCTCAGCCCTGTGAATTCATCAACTCAGAGGAAGAATATTCTATTCATGGTTACTCTTCTTTAATCTACTATGCAAGGAATACTGCTAAAATATGTGATTCTTGTCATATCTAATCCTCCTTTCCCCCTTCAAAATGGAATTTTATATTAACTCAGAAACTTAGGAACAACTGTGTATCTTTTCTGAAGTTTCAGTCTATAGCCAAGAAATCAATAAGTCATAAAGCAGTAGCATGTAACATTGATTCATCCCTATTTTATGACAAATTTTGGAAAAACATTGTCTCACCTTCAAATAACATTTCAAATTATTATGTTTTTCTTCCTCATATATATATATATATCCCTTTAACATATAGAAGGCTATAAAAGATGGAACAGTTGATCCAACTGTTCACTCAAGGGACTCACATTTCAACAACGACTTTTCCAGAAACAAGGGGAAAATCCTTTTCTTGTTAGAATTATTTCCCCCCCAGTAAGGATCCCTTACAAAGAATCAGCATAATGTACAATAGGAGAAGAGATACTGCTCTCCACTTGGAGGGAGCTTGAGCAGTCCATATCGTAGCCTAAAGGAACTTATTTTGTCCTAGACCTTAACTGGCTGCCAGGCAACTAATAGTCAGTCATTTCATTTCGTTGACTCTGGTGAGCTCATATATTTAAAGAAAGCTATACTTCCTCTCAGAATTGAAAGGTAAAAAATAGTAATGATGTAACCCTCAGAAAGAATGGAGTGATGACTTGAGCTGACGCTCAGGTGACATTTTCTAACTTATAATTTTGTAGTGTAACAAATAAATCACCTTCATTCACAACATACGGTAAATCAGTATTTTAAACCCATAACTTTCCATGACTACTCATTCCTAAAACATTTAACTGTAAGAGTCCAAATGTATGATGCTAGTTATTATTGAGATGGTTCAAAAATCATGTTTAGTACTGACTTTGAGATCAAGATGGCTCTTACTACTTCATTAAGACTCCACTGAAGTGGGAAAGCACACAACTCAGTGTTTCATAGCCAACAGAAGAACACAACGCTGTTTCATTCAAAGTATGTTGACTGTCAATGTCATTAAGATTCCACTGGAACATATCTGTACATACATGGCATACAATGCAATGAATCAGTTTGCTTTTATTATTACAGAAAACTGCATTGTTGTGATTTTGGTATTTTATCATATACAAAAATCTACTCAAGACTACCTGGAGATACTTTTCTCACAGTATGAACACATCTGAAGGGAAAAACAGCAGATTTTGTAAAAAATAGTCCAAAAACATTCTCATCCTTACTGCAGTGCTGCCGGGAAAGGATTTATTTATTTACTTTTTCCTGCAGGCAAACTCATACTAAATGTCTGTGAGCAAGCCTTCACAATGCCTGTTCATAAAACAACATTAGTCTACAGCGATGGTTTATAAGGACTGAGAATAAGTTACTCCTACTTGTGCATGTCTTCTTGCCATTATACCCATTTTAACCCCTTACTATACAGTATTATTTCAGCAGAGAACAGCACATTAAACACTACAAATAAATCAAATCAGAGCAGTTTTTCTTCATCAGATGTTTTCTGTATTTGTTCCACAGGTGGTGAACTTGCAGTTAAGTATACTCTGCTATTCCTGGTAAACCTTAAAGAAGAATTCTGCTCCACAAAATGGTGGCTGTCCCATCTTGAGAAAAAAAGCTTTTACGGAGTCAAGTAGCCAGCATTTTTGTGGTAAATGTCACAGAAGAGAGTGTATCCATTTGGTGTGTAAGGTAGTATATTCTGGCAGGCCTAGATTAGCGTGAGGCATAGCCAGTTGCAAGGCCACAACCCACAACCGGTGTCATGTCCCATATCTGAAGAAAAAGAAGCAGAAGAAAAAAAACCATTCTGTGATTTACAGTACGAGTCTTTAACCTTTTCACGTCCATGAGCCCAATTTTGCCCAAACACACTCTTGGACACTCACTTCTTAATGTTTCACCTTACAATGGTGAAACATTAAGTGGTGGTAGCATTTCTGTTGGAACCCAGTTTAGGTCAAGCTGTCTCAACCCACTATCTGAAGGCAAATGGTTACCTTTCTCAATTTTTTACAAACATGTATATCCTTTTATACATAGGTTCCAAGGGAATACACAACAAAATAATGAAGATGATCCATTGCAACGCAATGTAACAGAAAACATCAAAAGCCAATCTTTAGCATACTGTTAGAAGATAAGACCAATTACATTTAGAACCTGCATTAGTCAGCTTGATATTTAATCTTGGTTTTTTAAATTCTAGATCCTTACAGGTGCATTGCTTCTTATTGCTTGTTCCTTGATATACAAAAATTTAAAATGGATTCAGGTTCAAAGATAGTGAGAATAGGGTAGACAAACCAGTTTAAATATTAATTTTTCCAAAACTAAAGATACATAGGGTCAATTAATGCAGTGATAAAATTCAGAGTTGGAGCAGTTGACTACAAAGCCAGAAGCTATGAGTTCAAATCCTCCCTGTCTTTCAGGATGGGGGCGGTCAGCAGAGATCACATGGACATGTGAGGCTAACAGGTCTACATTCCCTGCCACTTGTGCAGCCCTGGGCAAACTGCATGGTCTGAGAGCACCGCCAGAAAGAGGAACTGGTAAATCCCTTCTTTATATATAAAAAATCCTGCAAGTTATCTTAAGCTAGAATTGACAGTAGCAAACAATTGCTAATTAAAGACCCAATCATCAAATGCTGGAGTCAGGAAGATGTAACTATTTCCACTGTGTATTTTTCTGAGCTTTTTGAAGATTACCCAGTGAAAACAGAACAGTGCTGTCCTCTGAAGATGCCGGCCACAGAGACTGGTGAAACATTAGGAAGAACAACCTTCAGAACATGGCCAAAGAGCCCGAAAAACCCACAACAACCATTAGATCCCGGCCGTGAAAGCCTTCGAGAATACACAGAAAACAGAATGCTTTTTAAATAAATCCCTGGCTCTATTCAACAAGGCAATACCTGTATTCTTGAAATCATCTAATTTTTAACAATATAGGCAGTCATTGTTTCTTGTCCCTGGACCTTAACTGTAGCCTGACAATTGCAGCACCTAGCACAGTTCCTTTCAATCACTTTGAAAGTGACCGAATGTTGATTCTGAGTTAACATCAAGCCCCTTCCTGCCTTCTACAAAATCCAAGTAGATCAAGAGTTCTGGAGAATTCAAAAGCTTGCTTGTTATTCTGTAACGTTTCTGGTCCTAACGAAGCACTGCTCAGATTGAGATTTTGCATTTGTTTCTTAAGGGCTCACATGGCTTCCTTTCCCTTTTAAAAAAAAAACACAATTTGTTGAATGCACTAACTTATACTTTAGTTTATTGAGGGCACTAGACTTCTAAGGTAAGTACAGAGTTGCACCAGCACCGACACACAAGGTATCAAGTGCTAGGCTCTTCGGCAGGAAACAATACTGATCTTCCATTAGTACAGGAGCAAATGGAAATATTGTTAATTCCATTTCAGCACAGGACATCCACATGGCCCTAACAGGGAGGTGAAGTACTACTTTCCCCTTTATGTAACAGTCTACACAGAGAGTTCAGAAGATGGCTGATGTCACCTTGCCTGCAACCTAGATAAAGGTGGGATACTGGCTGACAAGTGACAAGCTAGCTTTATGCCAGCTGTCTAAGATAGGATACTACACAAAGTTTAATAAGCCAAGACAATGCAGCTATTGAACCTCTGTTAAACTGTTCTGTTAAGGCTTCCAAATTATTATTAAACGTTGAAATTTATTACTGCTATTTAAGGTTTTCCTCAATCCAACCGAACATTTCTGCATCTCGGGTTTTTGAAGGTTTGCATGTTTCATTAATAGTCAAGAGAACATTTTGGTCAAGGCAGAAGAGAAAGATCTCACCTTCACTACACGATCACTTCCACATGTCACCATAAGCCCTCGTGAGATGTCCATTGACATATGGGAAATGTTATGTTTTCCTTCATGAAAAGTTGCCAAAGAAGTCCGACTTGAAGGGAGAAAAGGTGAGGTTAAATAAGTGACACTTGCTTGATGAGTTCTCTAATATTAAGATCTCTGACTAGCCAGTTCATTAAACAGTTCTCAATATCTGGGATGAGTAGAACATTCCAACCTTACTCCCACCTCAGCCCAGTGCAAGTCCTTGTACAGAGAAGATCCGAGTCTACTCTCCCTTTTAAAAAGTATAGGGGAAAATATCTCCACAGCCTGTCACAGGCTAATCTGACTGCCCTAGTGCCTTCTTAACTTAAGATAACAAGTTCATTAGGGTATCCTGCTGGTTTATACTAGAAAATATCTGTACCATCAGTAAAATTTTGCTTTGAGGGAAAAACAACCCAAATTCTTTAGAAGAGGGCATTAATACCTGAAACACAAAGGAACCGTTTTTAAGCATACTTACTCTTCGTCCTTGATTGAGTCAAAACAGGAGTCACACACCCGGACCTGGAATTCAAAGCCCATTATGGGATAGCTGGAGCGTTTAGTGCTGCACTTGCCACATACTGCCTGGCCACATTTCCTACAGTGATGCTGGATGAAATGAAAAGCAAATGCAATTAGAAAAACCTGGAAGTGCATCATCCTCAAATCACATCTCCTCTAAGATGGTCTCTCTAATCTTCAGTCCAATGAGCTCCAAGAGGTGAGGCAAATAAAGATTTCCAATGAAGATATTGATCAGAAGGCAAATTCATCAAGGAGCAAGAGGTCATTTAGAAACTCAAGTGCAGACCATCCCAGGGTTTAGAGATCTAAGAAAACATCTGGAGTTGTGACTTGGAACAGAGATCCAGTGAAAATATTATAATGTATTGAAAACAGCTTTTCTGTGTCTATGTGGTAGACAAGGTATGTGTATATGCATGCATATAAAGGATGCAGAAAATGACACAGCTGGTGCAGAATCTAGGCTGCTGCAAGAATAAACTACTAATTCCTGCTGCCACTTTCACCAATTTTCCATACACTGGTAGCACTCAAATGATCTGCAAACAATGGGGCCATCTCACCTGCCTCAGTCCCAGTGTCTTTGTGTCCCACATCTGCTTTATGTTCCAGAAGAAAGGCTGTTCACATTTCTGACACGAATCACTATCCAACCACTGAGGGGCCTGGAAAAAGAAAGACCAATGGATTCATTTTGATACATTGCAACAAAAAAGGAAAAGTCCCCCCAAAATGGTGGAAATGTTGCAGGTATTAAGCTGTCTGCGCTTGGACAGTGCTTTGTCTCAGTAAAAAAACATGAAAATACACTGGAGTCTATAGCTAAGACACAGAGTCTGTAAAAGCAGTGTCCCTGAAATCTAAGCATGACTTGTAAAATTTGCCACCCTCCAGATGTAATTAGACTAATTTAGTCTCAAGCTGCACATATGAAGGATAGCTGAAATTGTGGCTGTCTCCTAAATCTTTGCGCACCTCCCACACTTTGCCCTTTGCTGTGGCATTTTTCATTACAACCATGTTAATGAGGAAGACTCCTTTGCCACAATTGAATTATTGGCTGGCTGCAGGGCTTTAAAACTCCCCACTCTCCAGCATCTGGATGATCAAGAAAAGATAGTGAGTAATTGGAAAAGCTGAAGCTTTCAACAGTCAAATAATTATGCCTTCCGTTTTCACTCATAATCTGACGTTAAACATGTCCTGTTCTTGTTTCTGAGTGCTATAAATGCCATTCAAAGCAATTAATTTAATGATCGCCTGGGCTTTTTTTCTGTACATGTGTTAAAATCTCTTTCTGTCCTCCCTGGAAATGGGGCCACTTGGAAATCTATGAAAGGACTAGAATATTCGCTAATCTGCTTTCCCATACATAAACACCTGTAGCTTTCAGCCTAAACAAAAGGTTTTTTTAAGGATAAAGGTCTTGGGAGAGGAGGGCAATATATGGCGCACATATGGCCCCAAAGTCATCTTAAGGTGCCCTTGAGTTTTCAATACTCCACCTGCTTGAGTATAAGATGTTTTCCTTTGTGTATGCTGAAGCAACCCGGAAAATTTGATGGCACTAAATAATGGACTCTAATGTCACATGAGTTGACTTCCACTTGCATGATGGGACACTATCTTCTAGCCCTCTCCCTCTCCCTAGATCTTCTTCCAAGAGTCCCTAAGTCCTCCAGAAAGGATACTGAGGGGACATGAAGGCCAGATGAAAGGAAAAACTAAATAATGTTTTGCTAACTGAAACAGCTATGCCAATGCTAATCAGCTACAGATTTTAACGTTCTGTCATCATCAAAGCACAAGGCTAAGTGGATAATGCTCCCCATATCAAGATTTCAAAAACGGGATCCCTCCAAATGGGAGTTGATGATAAAGGGAAAGAAGTAAAAAGTCTTCAAATAAATCCAACAAGCAAATGTTTGATACTTATTTTTCCAGTTTTGTATCCCACTTTTTGGCACACACTGTTGCCAAAGCAGCTGCATGCTATGGCCAGGCAAACAATGGGTGAAATCCTATTGCTTCGAATAGCAGGCCACAACTAGATAGGCACATTTTTATCACTGGAGCTTATCAAAGAGCTAACTCACCAAATACCCACTAAAGGTAAAGGTAAAGGTTCCCCTTGACAATTTGTCCAGTCGTGCTCAACTCTAGGGGGCGGTGCTCATCCCCGTTTCCAAGCCATAGAGTCAGCATTTGTCCGAAGACAATCTTCCGTGGTCACATGGCCAGTGCGACTTAGACACAGAATGGCGTTACCTTCCCACCAAGGGGGTCCCTATTTATCTACTTGCATTTGCATGCTTTCAAACCGCTAGGTTGGCAGGAGCTGGGACAAGCGATGGGTGCTCACTCCGTCGTGTGGATTCAATCTTACAGGTGCAGAACTATAGACCTTACAGCACAGAGGCTTCTGCTGTTTAACCCGCAGCGCCACCACATCCCATAAATGCCCACTACTCTAGTGCAAATTACTATGCAAAACAACAGGATTTCACCCACCATTTCAACTGTCAAGATACACACATGAAGGAGAGGTATCCCTCTGCTAGAGGGAGAGGAAAGCCCTTCTGACAGTAAAGGATGATACGGAGGAGGCAACAAACTTTCTTACTTGGGAGAATGAAAACCAACCCCAGGAAGCCGAAGGACAAAGGAGAGAAGCAAGACCCTCAGGAGATGGAAGACTAGGGAGATGTTTGGGCAGAGTGGCCAGACAACTACTGAGTCAAGCAGTCCTCTGGAGAAGTAGCCCCAGATGAATGAGACCACATCTCTACTTTTAGAGGGGTATGGGTCCAGTTTTGGGTGCCCAAAGGAGAGGACTCCAAATATGAGTACAGGCCACCCCTGCAACCCTCCTTTACAGGAGAAAGGGAGAAGAAAGAAGAGAGGGAGCTAAGAAAGAAAGGTGGCTCTCTCTCGTCCCTTACGAGATGCTGGCAGAGAAGATCTCACAACCGACAACACTGGGAGGTGAGGAGACCATAACACTGGAGGGGAAAATCCCGGCATACCTGCCCTCAGGGTGGGCATATCACGCCTTGCTCCAAGTTGATCAAACTGGGGGCTCAGTAAAGGGAACTAAGTCACCCCAAAAGACTTAGTCCCTTTCAGCGAATAAAAACAGGGAGTGAATGCAGGACTAGTGCAGAAACTGGGACTGATGTCTCAGTATTCAATCATTTGTTATCCTTCTCCATGATCCAAGTTCCAATAAACCCTGTTGAGTTTTATTCGCTGCCTATTGATTGTGTGAATCCAGAAATGGAAAGCAGGAACTTGGCCAAGGCTACTGGGGCTGGCTGGACTCACAGGGACACCCTCCTCACCCTACTTTGGTTTTTACAAGTGCCCCCTGCCCCCTTATTCCTCTATTTCTTAGTTACAGTACTTGGCAAAGTTAACTAGTTAACTGGATGCTCGTGAATTAATATAATACATAAATGTAAACAACACTATTTGTCATATTTATGGAACAATCACTTCGAATTGGCATTCCTGAAGGAAATACAATAATTTTAGGCCTTCTGACAATTCCTACCTCTTCTCTGCTAACATCCATATTCCAGATTGTGATCCCCCCATCAGCTGAACAAGAAACCAACTGTCGTGTAAGCTGGAGGTAGCAAAGGGCCTGCACTTTATCACTAAAACAAAACAAAAATGCAAAAGAACACAATTCTCAATTTCAGTACAGTATTTTAATTGATCAGCTAGAAATACAGAATCGTGATCTAAATCTTCCTGTTGCTGGTGGAAGTATTTTTTAACAAGTTTATCTCCAGGTAAACATTCTTGATTCATGATAACTAGAGGGGATCTTGCTTAATGTTACAAGGTCTTAGGGTATCTTTTTTATGTTGTTGTTTTTTTAATTTAGGAGTGCTGCATGATTACTATCATTTGTCATGAAAGAGCTCTGAGTCAATCCTAGATTAAAGAAATAAACTCACTGCATAAGGTCTTACACCTTCCTCATTATCTTCCTATCACATTTGTTAATAAGAGTCAAAAAAGGAAACTGAAGAAATGCTTACCTTATTTTTCAGTTCATTTGATAATTTCTTTACATAGTCTAACAACCAACATTACAATGTTTGCTACACAATTATTTTAAGCAAGTTTTACACATTCAGACTTGGAATCTGAGCCACACCATCTTGTTCTTGGGGACATTAACATATACAAGCTGAAATTCACCACAGGGATCAAAACAGAAAAAAATTAGTATCTTCCCACATAGGAGAAGACATATCGTATTTTTCCATTTATAACACGCCCCCGTTTATAAGATATCCCCCTTTTTAAACCCAAAATAAAGAAAACTTAGCTTTCAGTAGCCTCTGGGCTCAGAACGTCGGACATTAGGAGTCCCTGTTGAATCTGAGTCTACAGGCTCCACCTCTGAGGTGTGTTCCTATTGGTTTTTACAGCATCAGCTAACGTCAGTTCCATGAGGCTCATGATTGGAGGAAGCTTAATCTCCTGACTGTAGGAAGCTAAGCCTCGTGACTCAAGGAAGCCTGTTTACAGAGGCAAAGTATGTGCCATTTTGTTCTCTCCTCAGCTATCTCAGCTTACATCTGTGTAGAGGATGCCCCTCAATTTTTAGTGTAATGGTTTTAGGAAAAAGTAGCATCTTATACACAGAAAAATATGGTACCTATTCAACTCCCCCACTCCCACTGAACGCTTTAGCAAACATTTGTGCTTTCTCCCAACATATATGGGAGAAAATGTCAGTGAAGTGCAATCATTAATATTTATAGTAAGAGGTCTTGCCATTATCTTGCAAAAAGAAAATAATGCATAAAGATTGATCTGTGTTTTTTGTAAGAAAGGAAAATTGCCACTACACTGTCTTGACAGATGACACCAGAACAACAAAAGCCATTATTGATATTGGAGCATCAACCAAAAAAATACAGACCCTACGCTATAGCTTCTACAACCACATACTTTGCTAGGGTGTGATTCCAGCACATATTCCTGGAATGTGGGAGAACTGACTGCTGTCAAAGCACTAAACAAAGGATGGAAACTTTCTAGCACTGGGGAAATTAACACCAGCATGTCAAATATTATTGATGTGTTTGCTGCATCTGTGTCAATATGTTATACATGCAAATGAAGTGCAGTATCTCTGCAGTAAGGAATTATGTATGGCTGGCTAGCACAGAGAGGCAAAAACTCTGTCAACCTGAGTTTAAATCTTTGACCCCCACTTCGTTAAACACCATTAAACATGCAAGGATTCATTTAGGAGCAGCATGGGGTGGGGAGAAAAAGGGCAAAACAAAATCCCTTGGCACAATATAAGTACCATCAAGGACTCCACCAACAATTATACGTACAAGAAAAATGAAATAATACATACTGATGGCCTTGAAGCAGCAGCGTCCGGCCTTTCCTTCCACCAATATCCCACATAATTATGCTGTTGTCAGAAGCTCCAGAGAAGAGTAACCGCTGAACAGGATCCCACCAGAGGGAAGCAATACTTCCTAGGTTAGGAGGGAATAATATAGTTTTTTAATTTAAATGAAAGTGGGGAACTAATAGCTTTTGGGTAAAGAACCTACAGGCTAAGGAATTTAACACTGCACTTCAAGGTGCCAGCTATAGTCTTGGCCATCTTCCCCTTAAAGGGGGCAAAAGAAACAGCCTAATCAAAAGACAGTAATATGATACAGCTAAAAGTAGTAGATTTTTTTAAAAAAAGTAATTAAGAAATAACAATTAGGAAGCTATGCTTGGATGTATTTTTCATGGTTTTTTTAAACACCAGACACTACCACAAGGACCAGAACTCAGCAAGGCAAAAGGTGGTCTCAGAAGTAATTTCAGGTATAGACATCTTTAAGCTTTTCACAAGATTTCATCTCTTCCTATTATTAAATGTAAACGAGTTGCTTGGAGCACTTAAATTTCCTCTCATCCTCTACACAAAATTGCAAACCATTTCTAATAGAAATAGTAAATTGTTTCTGATCAAGAAAATTATATACTGAACATTTCTGATTCTGGAAGTCTTGTTTTGACAGAATGGAAGTATGTGGCCATTTCAAAAATAGTCCTGCACTCTGGGAAAAGGCAAGGCAAAACTGCTTAGAATGTAAAATTTGCACCCAGCACACGAGATTTTCTTAATCCTCACCGTGGCATAAGCTAAGGAGGCAGGCCAGGAAGAAAGGTTTCATTCCTTCCCCAGCCTACTAAAGAAAATGCAGAAGGAGAATTTTTGTTAGACAAAGAGAACCAGTACAGTGTATTAGTTAATAGTACCAGCACAGGACAAAGGAGGACCAATTTCAGACTCCCCAATCATTACAGGCCAGTCACCCACTCTTAGCCTCTGTTGACCCACAGGATTACTGTGAGGATAAAAAAGAGAAGGGAGCCATGGGACAATAAAGATACTTGGGCATCACAAGAACTTGCCAGAAATCTTATCATCAGTTGGACAGGTTTTCACTGTCACATTCCATGTCTGCTTACCATCACACTTTGAAATGAAGTAAAACTACTTAGTTTGCTCTCTACACTGGCCCTTGAAATGTATTCCGAAGTATCAATCTTTTTTTTCCCAAGTCACCTTATCTGAATTTGCTCTTTATTCTGAGTTTATTTGATTTCCCTTATTTGTACAGCAGTGTCCCAATATTGACTGTTTCCACTTAATTCTTATTGCCCAACATTTGCAGTCTACTATAAAGATACATAGAAACTGCTAATTGTCTCAGGAACGCTGCTGCATTTGATAGTCAGTGCTGAGCCTCGTGCTTCTCAGTGTGTATAGCTGTGCAACTAATCATTCCATCTGGCAGGGCCATATATCACTATTAGTTTTCCAAGGAAGAAGAGATAAGTAAATGCTACGCAGCCACACACATTATGATTCAGTCAGTAGTTTAAAGCACCGAACCCCCAAGCTATGTTTTTGACACTCTTAAGATCCCAAGCCATCCCCAAATCTATCACCACCAAGATGACTGCTGGTATTGCTGCTAACGTGGTACAGCGCAATGGTGGTTCTGAAGCAAACTGGATTGCTGCTTTATTGCCATTAATGGTGGGAGTGGAGTAGTTACTGGGATCAGTGGGGCAGGAAGGCTCTCTTCTTTGAAGCTGCCAACTTGCTGCTTACAATGATTACCATCACAACCAAGTAATGGCATTGGCCTGCCCCCTTCCCAGTAACCCTGAAGCCAGGCATCAGAAAGACTCTGTATATGTGAGAGCGAGCAAGGAGGAGACCATAAGCATGAACATGCAACCCTGAAGCCAGGCATCAGAAAGACTCTATATGTGAGAGCGAGCAAGGAGACCATAAGCATGAACATGCCCCCCCTCTCTCTTTCTGTATGTGTGTGTGAGAGAGAGGGAGGAGTGTTCATGTGTCGACCTAAAAAGATTTTACACCAATGCTTTTAAGGCACATGACAGGGCTGAACTGCAATTTCTAAGAGGGTTTGCACTTGAGCAATAACTGAATGATTCAGGTAACTATAAATAAACGACTTAAAACCATGTAGAAGAGCAAGGGACAATAACACATATCTTTGGAGAGTGCCATTGGGAACCAGTGAATGAATGGCAGACCACTGGAAAGTTCCTACCACCACCATTTCCTTCTTTTAGAGTTCCAAGGTGGCAAGAAATGTGGGAGTTCCACATGTTGGCCAGAGTCAGACAGCAAACTCTGCCACTGCACATGTCAGTGACCATTAATAATAAGAACACTAGTGAATGTAACAGGCACGAGATGGGGACAGTACAGTTAAGACAGAAGACGTAATGGTGTATATAGGGTCCCCATGAATCATCCTGTTCCATGTGTCAGTTTTAAGAAGTCATATATGTAGAAAACGCACTGGATTTTCTGGTTTTTCCTTTGTGCATAATGTTACTAAGGCATAATCTGTGTGCATTCAGAGCAAAAGTGAAGACACATTGCAGAAAAGAAGGCAAAACAAATTAATACTGTGCACCATTTGCTTAGGAAACAGGCAGTCTCAGTATTTGTAATGCTGCCACCTAGTGTCCACATGGCTTAATAAGTTACATTTTGAAGATAGTCATTCCAGAGTTGGTTTGCTTACCTGGCAGACCATTACCATTTCTGCTCAATTAGAATTGCTACCCACTGATTACTCATCTAAGCAAGCAACACAATTGACAGGAACCATAAGTCCATTAAATACTGCCTGCTCTGACAGTGAGGGGCCATCTGAAGTTACTTGCCCCTGCAATGCACATGCACGTGCCTATCTTGACATCCCTGAATGCTACCTCTCCTTAACAATCATTTTTTAAAAAAAGCTATTTTCAGTCATTTCTTCTAATATCCATGTGGGACACTATGGCTTTTCAGATGCTGTTGTACTCCAAGATTCATAAGCCCTGGCTAGCATGATCAATGCTTGGAGCTGTATTACAAACAAACATCCCTAAAATATATTTATTTATTTATTTACTCCATTTATTTATTCCATTTATATAACAAGAAAAACTCTGGAGGACCCCAGGTGGCCACCAATTTTATCAGCAGACCAGATGCACTGAAAAGTAAAACGCTGACTTCCAGCCGCCTGCAATCTCCATTTTATGCACTAATTTTACCATCTGGGAGCCTCACTAGCATTTCCCTTTGAACTGACTCCTCCACCAAAACCGAACAACAAAAAGCAACCTAAGATGTTGTGAGGGCAGGGGCCAGTGCAATAGGGAAAGACATGCTACACACATATATACACATGAAGATCACAGGTTTGATCCCGGGTGGCAAAGGTGTACAGATAAATGAGGATGCTCGAGGGATAATTCTAAGTGAAAGGAAGAGAGTAAGTAGAATTGGGAAATAAATAAAATCACAGGCTGGGCCTAAATGGGTTTTCTGCTGTAGACAGAGAGGGACTAGGAAGTTCTGAAAACGAATTGGACAAAACAAACAAAAGGGGGGGGGAGTTGGCAGAGGTGAGAGAATGGTGGAACAAACTGAGTGTAATTTATTCAAAAGCAATTTATCAAAGTGTATTGGTTTCTTTTCTATAAAATAGGTGTTTGGCAGAAAACTGTGGTTTGGGGGCTCAGGCCCCATCTCTACCTTGTTCTCAGGTTCTTAGGCACATTACTTCTCTTGCAGCCTTTGTGATCTGGCTTCTTTGAAATGGGCAGTTGTGACTATCCTAACCCACCACGGCAGCAATTTTGTGGCAGAAACCATTTTGTCATGATACACATGACATCTCAAAATTCCAATTACAGAATGCCTATGGGTGTAAAAAGATGAAGAACCCTAATGTGGTCTCAGGCAAAGTCCTTCCTGCTGCCGCTGCCCAAAATCCCAGACAGCCTGTCATCTTATGCATAAAAAGATGCTATACTTTCCTTGAAGAATAAATTAAGAGCCTTATACTACCAACAAACAATAGGGCCAATTATTCCCTTAAAAAGAGGGTTCCCTAACCCCTGGTCCACAACCTGGCAGCAGTCCACGGCCTAAGCAGGATCGGGCCATGGACACAGATCTCGTCGTATTATTAGGTTATATTATTAGGTACAAGTATTATTCGTTGTTGTATTATTAGGTTTTAGTAACTGTATTATTCTATCGAATTTTATCATTTTTTGTAAGCTGCCCCGAGTAGACTTTGTCTAGAGGGGCGGGGTATAAGTCTAAATAAAGTAAAGATCTCCTGCCCCCCCCCGTGAGCACTGCTACACGCATGCACACGGGCACACTCCGCCCCTGCAAGCACAGTGCATGCATGCACTTCCTGAGCACCATCATGTGCATGCGCGCAAGCACGCTCCACTCCCCAGCAGGTGCGCCACACTCCTGTGAGCATGCCACGCCCCCCAACCGGTCCATGGTTGGGAAAAGGTTGGGGACCACTGCTTTAAAACACACACATACAAACATGTTCGCCCACTATATGTCAACTTAAGTTTCTTCACTTTAGAACTTAAGCTGGGACCTTAAAAGGCAGGATTGGAAACATGATAGTAGACACAGAAATAAAAGGTAAGGAATCCCCACTTCAAAAATCATGAGGAAGGACTAGCTGCATCTATTTAGTGTGTTATTTACAGTTTCCATCTATTTATAGTGTGTTATAGATTAATGCCAAAATGAAATTAGGAAAAAAGGGTTACCTTCATGTCCTTTGAGAGTTGTAATCACTGAGCATGTGCTCTGTTCAAGCTTCAGCAACGTGATCTGTCCAGAGTAGTCGCCAACAAAGGCGTGCTGGGTTTCAAAGTCGTATCTTGCAACACACAAGTTAAGGAGTGCCTATCTGCTACAGTTCTCGAGTGCTAAGCAGCACAGAAAACACAGAGGTGGGCAGTAAACATATTTAATTTGTCCCAATGTAGAGGAAGATGTACCTACCTAGAAGTATACAGACAGATGTAGTGGATACTGCATTAATTTCAAGCCAACAAAGCTCCAATCTTCTGTGACTTTAAAAGCAGAGATGGGAAACACTACTTTAGTTTAGACTACAACTCCCAGAAGCCTCCTGTCTGAGAGGCCAGTGACCATGTTAGCTGGGAATTCTGGGTAGTGTCGTCCAAAAAAGCAGTTCCCATTTCTGTTTAAAAGCATACTCGTGCCACTTAATGGTTCCAAAACCGAAGGGAGATGCTAGTCTTATTCCGGACTGGAGTTTCTTTCCTATTCTGCCTTAACCATCTTCTGTAAGCCCCAATTGGGCAAGCTAGAACAAAAAAACAAGGACAAATACATTACCACGGCACCATGAGGAGCATTAGTTCCATCTCCTAGGCAACACGACAAGCAGCCAACGTCAACAAGAAAAAAAAAATTCTCTCAGGGGTTTTCATAATGGGAGGTGGAAGTGAAGAGGAAGCACATGTGACTGCACAGCTGGCATATGTAGGAGTCCAACCAGCATGAAGCTGAAAATGAATCTCTGTCCTTGTGGAAAAGAGCATTCCAGAGAACAGTGCCAGATAAAACCACTTCCCTTTCAACAAAGGCCTTCAATATTGGATGGCTCTGATTGCTGGCCTGAACCAGATACTTCTATGTATTTATTTAAAACAGCCGGACATTCATGGAAGAAGGCCTGTGCATTCTGCAGAAAAGTTCTTAATCACCATCAATTCCAGAAACAGGGACTTTTGACAAATCCCAGTAATATTACAAGGAGGCAAAACAAGATGAACAGATAGTACAGATAACATCTTATATTACAAAAGAGCTAAGCTGCTGAAACACTTAGAATTTTATTGTCATCTTAACTGAAGGAAAACACTTATTCTCCGACTGCTCAGCTTGAGGACAATTTAACTGGCAAAAACACACCTACTGTTGCCTTCTTGCTCTTCATAGCCTTCTTTTTAAGCAGACTATGTAAAAACGGTGTCGAGAAATATGTACAAAACCATCTTAAGGACTGGTCCATTGCCTAGACTCAACTGAAAAGGAACAGGTGGTCCTACGATCTGGATCTGACACAATAACAGGCCAAGGTTCCTCCCTTCTCTTTTGCATTACTCTTGCATGCGTCTCAATTTACCAGGTTAGAAATAAAAGCTGTCTAAAACCTGTGTATTGTATCATCACTGCCTCATACTTCAGTACCGAGTTGTGGACTACTTGTTTCAAAGAAATGGCCACTGCAGATTTAGACTAATCATGCACACATTTAAGAAGTTTGCTGCTCCAGCTTTTTACCATTAGAATTCCATTTTCTGTGGAAATTTTATTGCAGTTTGCTCTGATGGACTGACAATGTTGAACACTCTGGACTACCTCTATTACCGTGTTTCATGTTTGCCTATCTTTTCCTAACTGCCTCATTAACTACTTCAGAGGCTCTTGACAAACATACTGAAATAATCATCTGTCTTATTATTAGTGACTCTAGCAAATGGCCCACTGTTGGGAGAGAGAAAAAAAAATCTGAAGTAAAGGAACCCTCTGCAGTCAAAAGCCGGTGATGCCTTCTGTGAAAACCACACTGGATATTTACTAGAAGCCGTAACTAAGCAGATATAGTAGTATATATTTATATGACTGTGTTCAAATCACAGTCTCCTACAGATTTACTCAAAACCCAAAAGCACAACTCATCTTTTACAGATCGGAAAGAAGGGTAATGAAAAGTATCACAGGGATGCTATAAATATTAAGAATACTTTTATCCTTAAAACTAAAGTAAATCACAATTGGAGTAGACACATATGAATCAATAGAACGTACACAGCAGCTGACTCATATCCCACTGATTCAACAGGCCTACTCTAATGTAATTTAGTCACTAAGCAACAGGGTTTTGTCATGCTATCTTGCAAAATTCATAGAATACAAAGGGGATGAAATTTTGACTGGTTTCCAATGGCATGAATGAGGTAGAAGCAAAGAGGGTGCTAATTTTGTCTCACCAACAATCATGACTTTCAGGACAACTCATTTTTTTTAAATAAAAACATATGAAAGAAGCATTTTGTTTTGTTTTTTGATTCTTTCAGTTTATTCCACTAGAGAGCCTCTGAAATCCAATACTTTTAAGTTTTCTGAAAAAGAGGGCCCCTAAAATATCCAATTTCCACTATTGGATAAGCTCTGTTTAACCCATTAAAACCACTCTGATGGCAGAAAGTGAGGAGGAACTAAAGAACCTTGTAATGAGGGTGAAAGAGGAGAGTGCAAAAAACGGTCTTAAACTCAACATCAAAAAAACTAAGATCATGGCCACTGGTCCCATCTCATCCTGGCAAATAGAAGGGGAAGATATGGAGGCAGTGACAGATTTTACTTTCTTGGGCTCCATGATCACTGCAGACGGAGACAGCAGCCATGAAATTAAAAGACACTTGCTTCTTGGGAGGAAAGCGATGACAAACCTTGACAGCATCTTAAAAAGCAGAGATATCACCTTGCCAACAAAACTCCGAATAGTCAAAGCTATGGTTTTTCCTGTAGTGATGTATAGAAGTGAGAGCTGGACCATAAAGAAAGCTGACCGCCGAAGAATTGATGCCTTTGAATTGTGGTGCTGGAAGAGACTCTTGAGAGTCCCCTAGACTGCAAGGAGAACAAACCTATCAATTCTAAAGGAAATCAACCCTGAGTGCTCACTGGAAGGACAGATCCTGAAGCTGAGGCTCCAATACTTTGGCCATCTCATGAGAAGAGAGGACTCCCTGGAAAAGACCTTAATGTTGGGAAAGTGTGAAGGCAAGAGGAGAAGGGGACGACAGAGGATGAGATGCTTGGACAGTGTCACCGAAGCAACCAAAATGAATCTGACACAACTCCGGGAGGCAGTGGAAGATAGGAGGGCCTGGCGTGCTCTGGTCCATGGGGTCACGAAGAGTCGGACACGACTAAACGACTAAACGAAACCCATTAAAGGCCCTGTCACCTATCCTTCCCTTCCTCCTTTTGCCTTACCACCACCACTACCACCAGCACACCTTTTAGGGAGAGAAATGGGGAGGATGGCAACACTGGAGCTGATCCTCTCCTCTTTTCCACTTTCCTGCTAATCCTATCTTAATCAAGGCAGTTGTCAAGATGGCATGGAGTATTTGAAAAAGTGGACGAAAAACAATAAGCAGGCAATGTGGGATCCAAACACACCCTTCTTAGCAACAAGGCCACTCATGTAGAGTAGTTTAAGTGTACGTTAGCTGCCCCTTACTTAGCAGCAAATGAGGTACAGACTTGTGCCACGGGTGCCTTTCTAATTCCTAAACTAAAAGAACCCTGACATCTTTTTTAAGAAGATTGTTCTAATGATATAGAAGCATTTGGCAGCATGCATTTCATAGCCTCCTGCTATAAACACCATGCCCTCCATCCTCTTTGGCTACAGGAACATCTTCCTTGCATTCAAATCCCTAAGCATCTCAATAATTTCCCCAAAATCCGTAACTGAGAATCCAAGCTTAGACAAGCAGGCGACTACACATGCAGACAACTAGACTGACTTTTTCACCTTTGTCTCCCCCTGTTCCTGTCAACTTTTAACCAATCTTAATTTCCGCTTGGTCTGAATGAAGTGACAAAACAAGGTTCTTAGAGAATCCTGCTTAGAGATACGCTAAAGTTGACTGCCAAAAGTGCCATAAAACTTCAGATCAGTCAAGGATTGTTTTCTGTTCTTGTAGATGCTCTCTGCTCCCCACTCCTGATACAAGTGCAAGGGCAAAAGAGAAGGAAAGAATACCAATGGTGGTACCTTTGTTATCACAGAGAGATGGAAAAACCCTTCAGAGCTTCACCCTTACGTGGCTCTGGGAAAAAAGGGTGGAGGGAAAATCAAACCACCTCAGATCAAAAAGTAGGAGAAGGGAAGAGACCCCAGAGATGATCATGTAACCTTTCTTTACTTGAGACAATTAACTCCTACTTGTTTAATAATTGCAGCAACAAATGAGGCAAGCAGAAGTTGATTTGTGCATGGAAGGACTGAGATTTCTAGCACTTAGCACAAATTCATGGGATTTCTTTAGCTATACATAAACACGAATCCCGTGGCACCTTGAAGACTAACCGAATTATTACAGCATAAACACCATAATATATATGTCAGTCTTTAAACTGTTGCAAGACTCCTGGCAGGTTTTGCTGCATCAGACTAACTTAGCTCCTTTTCCAGAAATTAAATCTAAGTATATGCCTTTAACACCTGTCTCCTTTTGGTAAATTCAAGTATTCTAATAAAAACCAGGACTGATCCTGTAAGTGTATGATATACTAACCACTGAACTAGACAACACTGTCCTACTGTTACTGTTACTAAACAAAACTCTTTGTAGCTATGTCTGCTTTGTTCCAACAGAAAAGATCATTCCTATGTAAGCTTAAACCCTCATCAATAATAGGCAGGAAAAAGATGAAAATTAAAGAAACAGATAACTGGACAGGAGTGGCAGCCATACCATGCTACCCCACTCAGTTAATACAATACACTTAGTGTGAAGAAGTGAAGAATCCAATCAATCAATGACAAGGAATCTGACAAATCTTGCTTTTTCATTCCAAACGTCTTGTAGATATCAAGAGAACAGTCTTCCACACACAGACTTGCACTGCACCATTCGATGAAATCAGCTTCTAGTCCTGTCAATGAAGCAAGTGACATATACAGTGGTGCCTTGCTTAGCAATGTTAATCCGTGCAGCAAAAATCGCTGCTAAGCAATTTCATCGCTAAGCAATATTAAAAAGCCCATAGAAACTCATTAAAACGCCATTAATGCGTTCCTATGGGCTTAAAAACTAACCCTAAGCGAAAATCCTCCATGGGGCGGCCATTTTCGGTGCCTCTAAAGCGAGGTAACACAGCGGGCGGCCATTTTGTTTACCCGGTGGCCATTTTGGAACCGCCGATCAGCTGTGTGAAAATGGGGGCTTTGCGATGATCGCTTCCCTGCGATCATCGCAAAGCGAATTTTCCCCATAGGGAATATCGCAAAGTGATCACAAAAACATCATTGCAAAGCGAAGCGATTTCTTCGTTAAACGATCACTATGCGAGGCACCACTGTACACAGCTGAGGATTTGTGAAGTACTGCACTGAAAAACTGCACACGGAAACACTATCCAGCAAGTTTAGATATATTTAGTCATAGCAAATTGTCAAGAGCATCTGTAATGATAATTAAATCTAACAGAAGAATCTGTCACTTAATCTCTATCTCTTGGTAAAGATAACATAAAGTAGGGACAAAACTTTTGTGTGCTTTAAAGAAATCTCAAGGAAACCCCACACACTGAGCAGTGCAAACACTCTGAAGGATACTGGAGACAAGAAGCCCAGGACGTGAAATAGTGTCGTCCTAGCATGTTTCCACTTCTGGTACACATCCAGCTAACGCATTTATCATGGCCGGTGCTGATAACCCACTCTGCTTCCAAACAAAAGATGACAGCAGACACTCTGTTCTGGTGAGCTGTGAGACAGATAAACATTACAACACTTTGACTTAAATACACCTGGATTTCAATAACGGATGCCTAACACTTATACAAAGTCAGATTGCAATCAGTACTATTTGTTTTACTGTACAGGTGGAGTCAGAACCACCAATAGCCTGGTTTCTGCTTTCTATGATAGCAATGGGAAGGGGTGGATGCAAGGCACGTTCAACATTGCCAGAAGCTCCTACAGACACATTACCTGGGGAAGGAAAAAAACTTCAACAGGTACAATAACTGCATCCACACTAACACGCTGACCAGAGTACTATTAGCATTTATGTAAGTCTTGAGTAACTTTTTATGGCTGATCACAGTTAACTGACAAGGTTCCAGGGAGCGTTTCAGTCTCATTGCCTAGCGACATGCCTAACTGTGTAACTGAGATGCATCACAATGCATTGTTAATTAGCCACAATTACCTGCAGCAAACTACACAAACCTTGTATGAACAATAACAGGATTCCAGCTTTTTAATGCTATGGATAAAAAACAGGGAGAAAAAAGTGACTTCCGAATTATAATCACAGGAGGCTGGCAAGAAGACAGGGTGTATCTTCCCTGTCATTTGGGATCTATCACAGGAGGCTGGCAAGAAGACAGGGTGAATCTTCCCCACCTCTGACATTTTGGGGTTAGGCAGCCCTGACCCAGTCTCAAAAACCATCTTTGGCTACAAATGACAACAATTTGCAACCTACAGTGGTGCCTCGCTTAACGAGGATAATCCGTTCCAGCGAAATTGCTGTAGAACGAAATCCTTGTTAAGCAAAATAAAAAAGTCCATTGAAACGCACTGAAAGCCCTTCAATGCGTTCCAATGGGCTGAAAACTCACCGTCCAGCGAAGATCCTCCATAGGGGCGGCCATTTTCGCTGCCTGTAAAGCGAGGAATCTGTCCTAGAAAACAGCGGGGGGCCATTTTGTACACCCAGCGGCCATTTTGAAAACTGACAATCAGCTGTTTTTAGATCGTCGTAATGCAAAAATCGGTTTCCGAGGCAGGGAACCAATCATGGTGAAGCGGATTTTTCCCATTTAAACCATTGTTTTGCAATCGCTTTTGCGATCGCAAAAACCTAGTCATCAAGCGATTTCCTTGTTAAGCGAGGCAATCGTTAAGCGAGGCACCACTGTATTTAGGTACAATTTGTTGCTGCACAGGAGAGAAGCAAAGGTGAACATTCAGAAATAAATTTTGTTGTGGCTTATACATGGATGACTCAAAAGACTGCTGGCATTTAATTCTCAGGCAGAAAGACAAAACTATTGTTTTTATTATAATTGCTCCAATAACAAACCACATTTTTTTTCATTTATCATTAAGTCTATTCATTTAAAGATTTCTTGCATTAAATCAATTCCTTCCCACAAATATTTTCCATTAAGGAACAGAAACTCAGAGAAAGAAAAAGGTTCAAACAAAGAGCAAAGCACACACATAGTTGCTATTAAACAAAACACCAAAATAAAAGTCAAGGGAGTGACGGGAGAGCAATAGAGAGAAACCACTATTATTAGTTAGAAGGGGAAAAAGCATATTTTTGAAATGGAAAATAGTTATCCATTGTGACATAAAAGCTCTTTTACTGCCATTTCAACAAAAGATCCCACTCAAAGCCAACATTATTTTCTGATGCAGAATAAGTCAAAATACAATTATTTTCTTTTCTGATGCAGAATAAGTCAAAATACAGATCAGCTTATATGGGGTTGGCCTTGTACTGTAAGAAAAAGCTGTGCATGAATGGAGTGACTTGCTGCTCCAAATATTACTCCCCCTCTCCTAGGATCCCACACTGAAAATGTTGCCTGCATGTATTTTCCATTTCATCCTGGAGAGATATTCTTTCTATTGCTTTGTCTTCCATGACCAGCTGAAAAAAGAGAGCTTGCGAGTTCAAACAAAGTCACTAGTCTTACCACTGAATCTGCCAGAATCTATTGGCACTCTATATTGGATCTCTGTGGCAGATGACAGAGCCCAGAATGGTCCACAGGACAGCAGAGAGAAAAAAATTACCTCACAAATGGCAGATCAAGTCCATCCCACTAATGTTCACAGAACCCATGTTAAATCTGAGGAAGAAAGGTCAAGGATGCTTTGGACCAAAGATCCTGCTGAGTACCAAAGTCATGTAAGCTTTAATTAAAATAACATTTACAAGTTTAATTTTTTTTAAAAAAAAAGTCTAACTATTCATTCCCACAGGCAATTTATCACTTCTATTTCCAAACATGTTTAATAATCTCCATAAACATTTGATACTATTTTATCAAATTGTATTGACACTCTCAAATTAATCATTCAATGTATTCGCAAAAGCTTTCACGGCCGGGATCTAATGATTGTTGTGGGTTTTTCCGGCTCTTTGGCCGTGTTCTGAAGGTTGTTCTTCCTAATGTTTCACCAGTCTCTG